GATTTCTGCCATGTAATTCTGGCTGGATCACTTCTGAGCTGGGCCTGGATTTGCCTGCAAGAAAACACGATTTTCTTCTCTGAGTCTTCTTGCAGAGCAGTTATTTGTAATATGTCCTGAAGGCGTGGAGTGAGTGGGAAACCTCAGGGAAAACCACAACTCATTTACAGCTTAAATGAAAATTGAAAATGAGTTGAAAACAAGATGTGTGAGATCTCAAATTTTATCTTTTATAAACAACAGCTATTGCCTGTGGACGAATGGATGTAACAGAGGGATTTAATCTCTGTAAACAAGAGGAAAATGCATCAAAATGGACCCTCAGGCATGTGGCAGGACCTGGCTTTGGAAAAGTGGTGAAGAGGCTGAAACAACTTAACTGCTACTAAGAGTTTTATTGGCACCAGGAGCTCTGTGAAGGAGACAAATAGGGGGATTTGAGGCCTTTGCCCTTTGTATTTGTTTTTTATTAGAGCCATCGGTTTTGAGCACACATTTGCCTGCCCAGGTGGGTATTTGCAGGGCGTGGGAAGCCTGCACTGAGTTCTGGAGCTCCACAGCTCAGAGTCTGTTCCAGGCCGCCCAGTCACCTCTCTGGGAGATGCAGAGTCAATGCCAAGGTACCAAAGCACAGAATTACACAATGGTTTGGGTTAGAAGGGACCTTAAAGCCTGTCTCATTCCACCCTCTGCATGGGCAGGGATACCTTCCACTATCCCAGGTTGCTCCAAGCCTCATCCGACCTGTCCTTCAATACTTCCAGGGACAAGGAAGCCACAGCTTCTCTGGCCAACCTGGGCCAGGGCCTCACCACCCTCACACCCAACAATTCCCTCCCAATATCCCATCTAACCCTGCCCTGTGGCAATGGGAAGCCATTCCTCTTTGTCCTGCCCCTCCATCCCTTGTCCAAATTCCCTCTCCAGCTCTCTTGGAGCCTCTTTAGGCACTGGAAGGGACTCTCAGGTCTCCCTGGAGCCTTGTCTTCTCCAGCTGAACACCCCCATCTCTCCCAGTCTGTCTCCAGAGCAGAGAGGCTCCAGCCCTCAGAGCATCTCTGTGGCCGTATCTGGACTTGCTCCAACAGGTTCCTGTCTGCCCTGTACTGAGGACTCCAGACCTGGATGCAAAGCATAATACAAAAGAGAAGGAACAAAATGAACCTTGCTTTAAACCCCTTGAACCAGGGTATTTCCAGGTTGGTCTGTTACACTTGTTGTTGGCAAGGACCTCTTGGCTGTGCAGTTTTTAACTCCATTTATTTTGCATAACGGTCTCCTTTGCCTGGTGAAATCCTACTTAATTTTTCAGTACATTTGGAGAATTTGCTAATCATGCCCGTTTCACAGGTCTGTTACTGCTCATACAGCAGATAAGAGTTTGATAAGGAATAGGACACCCCAGGTGATAAGGAATAAGGCACCCCAAAAGTAGACTTGGAGCTTGTTGAAGGAGTTTGGAGGTGTATGGGCAAGGGGAGCCCACTGGGATTTCCCAAAGGTATTTGGCAAGGTCCCTCAGCAAAGGCTCCTGAAGAAAGAAAGCAGCCCTGGAAGAGGTGCTGAGATCCTTATGGGGGAAAATCATTTGCTAAAAGGTAAAGAACAAAAGGCTGGGGGCAAGAGGGAAGAGCCTGGGTAATAAAAAAGATGAAATTCAAATGTACATAAATATAAAATGGTGCACAGGGGGAAAAACCAATTTTAACTCCATTTATAAAACAACGGGTTCCGAGTTAAGTGTTACCATCTGGAACATCAGGGTTGTAACAGATTTTGCTGTGAAAATGTCAGATCCGTGGTCAGCAGTGATCGGGAGAGTAAATGATGTGTGAGGATTACTGGGGGAAAACAAAGCAAAACAACCCCTGCTGCCTCCAGCTGGAGGCACTGGGGGAAGCTGAGGTGTTTTGGGTGACAAGGGCCCGTTCCTGGAGGGTGTGGGTCTGTGCAGGGCTGCTGTCACGCAGCCCCAGAGGGTAAGTTCAATGGGAGAGGGGAGGGTTAGCTCTGTGCAGCCCCCTCCTCTGCCTCGAGGAATAACCATCAGCAGCCTGGCATTTTTCAAGGAGTCATTTCTGTCCTCCCTGGCTCCTTGCAGGAAGGTGGTGGCCAACAGCCCCATCTCCTGCACTACCTGTGGAAGCCATACTGACTTCTGTCAGCAAAACAGATTTATAAAACAGAATTTCTATTGTGTTTTTTTACATATAAGCTGGGAAGATTCCCTTGGAGGCTGGTAGCTGTTGGGAAAGTGAATCTCTGCTGAGCTCGAGAGAGCAAGTAGTGGAGGAGCACTGCAGTGACAATTCCTGCCTGGAATGCTGGAGGTTCCAGCAGGCTCCAGGTGAGGAATTCACTCTGGGCACCAAAGCAGGACAAAGGCAGAGGCAGCAGATCTACCCCAAACCCTGTGCCAGGCTGGTGACCAGGGGCAGAGCTCAGGTCCTGCCCTGATGCCTTTCCCAAGGGTACCAGTTATTTTTCCAAAATTAAGTGCAACATCACTTCTTTGTGAAGATTGGAAAAATCCAGAGAAAACCTGGTCTCTCTGTTGTTGTCTGGGGCTGGTATTTACAAAAGTGCTGGGGAAGATGGAGTTGCTGTTCTCGGAGCCCTGCCTGGATCCCAGCATTGGTGCTGCTGCTGCTTAGCGAGCGCTGAGCTCAGGGCCCTTTCGCCAGTTGTTTTCCATAAAAACCCCACTGGCTGCCCTGAGTCGTGCTCCCTCTTCCTGCCTCCACCAAGTCCCTGAGCAGCTATTCCATTGCTCTTCCCAGGCTTGAAATCAGGGTTATGGGCTTCCATCTTCCACACACACTCCATCTGGTCAAGCCTCAGTACTCAGCAATTAATTCAGTGTCCCCTCAGTTTCTGAGGGTTTATAATGACACTGCAACAGGGCAGGAACTCCCTGATTTCCTTTTCCCAGCCTTTCCCATGCCTGCAGTGCCACTGGAATCAAAATACCTGTTCCTCTGCTCCCACTTCGGCTGAGGTAACACCTGCAGCCACCAGCTGAAAAAGGAGGAAGATGTGTGTCCACTCGTTGTGTATTTAGTTAGAACAGTGCAAAAGCCTTCACCGTGCTAGAAAAACTGTGCTGCTTCCCTCTGCTCATCCCATGTCCCCGGGAGGCTGCCTGTGAGGAGACTGTGCTTCCCTGAAGGAACAGGACTTAACCCTGTCATGCTTCAGTTGGTGCTGTAATTGCCCGGGGCTCTTTCCTCTGCCCTCTGTAATTGGGATCACTTTATCCCTGGCTTCATCCTTCATAATCCTACAGGTAACCCTTCATCTTGCTCTTCCCTGCAGTGGAGGAATGCTGCTCAGCTTCTCGAAAAACACCCCTTGCCCGGCGTGAGGAGAAACCAGACTCAGCTGGGCAGCACCAGGCTCTTCCTTCACATGCAGCACCTTTCTGGACCTCACATCCTCCTCCTCCTGCCCTTCCTACATCCCAGGCCTTCTCCAGACACCCCAAATTTCCAGCACCATGAGTGAATTTAAAACTGTTTTGAAGAAAAGGCTCGGGATAATGTTGGTCCATTTCAAGCTGTGTTTTGTCAGGGCAGTGAAAGTGCAGGACATGGGGGAGGGACACAGGCTGTGAGAGGAAATAAAGAAGGGCTGGAGGTGTCTCTGTCTGTCTGTCCAGCTGGAGCACCAGCATGTGGGCACTGGCTGGGGACACCAGAGCCCAAGTGGTCGTTCCAGCCGTCAGGACTGAGGGCCTCAGGGCTCCTCTCTCCACTGACTCGATGGAGGAGGTGACACTGCCATGATGTGAACGTGAAGATTGGAGCTGTGGTGCCACAAGTGCCACATCTGTGGTGACCATTGTATTCATGCGCCCCATGGCCCCCAAAGGGGCCACCTCCTCAAAGAGCAAGCCCAGTACCACCTGCTCAGCCATACTCCTGCTGAACACATGATGAGGGAGCAGAGTGAGATCCCCCATGGCAGCCCAAGACATCCAGCACAGCTGGACACAAGGCTGGCAGAGGCAGCCACCTCCCTGCTGGGTGATGGAGAAGAAGAAGGCCCTGCCCATCACTGTGGTACAGATGCTGGGCAGGAGGGAGCACAGGCTGACCGGCCCCTGGCCACCCAAGGGGACACACACTCACTGTGGGAGGATCCCAGGCTAACACAGGAGCACTTTATGATTTTTTTTTCTCCCTGTAAGTCTAGAGCTGTGTTTGCAGTTTGGGCTCTGACCCACTGCTGCTGAAGGGGGACGTGTCACCTCCATCCCTGTTTTCCTGAACAGCAGTACATGCTGGGCACAGCTCCATCCCATTAACAGAAAAGGAAGAGCTGATGGGGGATGTGATAATCCATGGAAGGTTTGGGTGTGGTGATCAAGAAATAGTGGTCTGCAAAATCCCAGAGGGAGTGGAAAAGTTGAGAATTGATACACAGGCTCTGGTCCTCACCCTCTACAGAGAGCTGTCAGTGGGATCCTGTAGGAGGCTTCTTGGGAAAGTAAAGGAGCTTGGCAGGGCTGTGAGGTCCTTAAGAGATGCTCAGAGGTGCCTGAGGGGCAGAACCAGACCTATCACCCAAGCAAGGTTCTGAAGGACAGGATCCTCCAAGTCCATCCCAATAATCAGGTGCACAAGTAGATGTAGTGGGAGATGGGTTTGGCTAAACTGGGAATGAAGCTCATGGCTGAGCTCCAGTGCAAAAAGGCAGCGTGAGGAGGTGAAAGCATGGACAGGACATGATGGAGAGATCTGGGCATGTGGGTAGGTGTACTGATGGGTGATGCAGTGATGGGTATCACTGTCCACCTCGGCGGTGAGTCTGTCCCCTCAGCAGTGGGTCTGTCACCGTGTCCCGCCCCGTCAGGGCTGTGGAATGACACACGATGGGGACACGCAGAGGGTTCAGGACCCCGTGGGCTGTGGTTCCCGGCTCTGTCAGCGCTGGGGGCGGGGCTGGGGGCGCGGGAGTGGTCAGGGCGTGCCGAGCCCTCCCTCTCCGGTCTATAAGCGGGAGGCGGCGGAGCGGGCGTGGGTCCCGCGGGCAGCGATGGCGCTGCGCTGCCTCCTGCTGCTGCTCTGCGGAGCCGCGCTGGGACCCGCCGTGCATCTCGACTTTGCCGAACACCGCAGCCAGGCCGCCAAGATCAAGGTCAACCCCCGCGGCAACCTCTGGGCCACAGGTACCGGACCCACCGGGGGGGGGGTCGCAGGGACAAGCGGGATGTGCGGGGCACAGCGACCCCCTGCCTCCCCGAGCGCCTTGTCGCTGCCTGTGCGGAACCCCCTGCTCCCCCCCGTACCCCACGGGCGGAGGGGGATCTTGGCAGGACTGTGGTGGGCAGGGGTGAGGCCACCTGCACCCGCATTCCCGGGAGACAAGTCCGGCATCCCTGTGTGGCAGGTCTAGCATCCCCGGGTTAGCAGATCCAACGCCCCAGGCAACTGCCCAGTCCGGCATCCCCGGACATGTCTGTAACCCCGGAAATCCTGTCGGCAGAAAGTTTCCCCAAAATCCCCAAAAGTCCCGTGGAATGAGGACCTGGGATTTCTGGGTTTCCCTTGACTCAGCTGATTTGGGCACTAGGTCACTTGGTGCCGGCTGAGCCGGAACCCTGGGTCCCCGCGGACACACGGGGCGTGGTGTTGCAGGTCACTTCATGGGGAAGAAGAGCGTCACGGGGTCCCCGCACCTGGAGTCGCCGGAGGATCCTGCAGTGCCGATGGTTTTCGGTCCCTCCCTCCGAGCCTTGCTGGAGGACATGATGGAACTGCTGACCCGGGAGCTCCTGAAAATCCTCTTGCAGGAAAGACTGTTGGATGAGAACCAAGGGAAATATGACCTCACTGACCAGGTGAATATTGACTAAGCTGGAGGGAGACGCTCAGAGCTGGGAGGTGGTGGAGCCATGCTGAAGGTGGGAGCCTCTGCACAGCTGCTGGAGGTGCATCCCTCCTCTTTCCACTTCTCTTAATTCCCCTCAAACCACTCCTTAAGACCAGCCAGGAGGGGGCAGAGGAGAAGTGTCCCGAGGGCCATATCTAGCTGGGCAGTGACAAATAGTCCCGGGTGCTTGGGAAGGGTGTGAGGATGAACAAGGAACGCTGCAATGGAGCTGTGGCAGTGGTGATCTCCAGCGCAGGGGTTGTTAATAGGCACCTGGGTCTTCCTCACCCAGATGCAAAAGAGAACGGTGGCCACTATTGCTGCCGTGAAGAAGAGACAGAGAAATCCTTTTTCCCTTCTTATTTCTGCAGAGAGAGATCAAGAGGGACATGGTATGGGAAGGGAAAGGCATGTGTCAAGCAAAGAGCTTTGGGCTTCCTCTGCCCCCATCTTGGCTCTGTCACTGTGTTTGGGGTCCCTCGTTACTGAGGTGTACAAAGCCTTGCAGAGGGGAGGTGTGTGCTGCTGCAGAGCAGGTTTTGGGGAGCAGGGAGTGCGCAGGAGCTCCAGTAATCCCACTGTGTATCAGCAGATCCTCAGGCTCCTCAGTGTGTCTTTTACCTTGGAGCTCACCCAGCTCCTAGTAGAAAACTTACCCCTGGGAGCAATGCACAGACACAGATCCTCGAGCAGGATGTGGAGGTGGAACTGCTCAGTCCACAGATGGAGTTACTCAGTCCGTGTGGCTCTGCTGGTCTGTTGCCTCCTGCACACTTCCCTGGTGTCTCACCCTTTCCAACCACTGCAGGAAGTAACCAAGAGCCTAAAAGGGATGAAATCCTCTTAGATGCATCCCACTTGTGCTGTCCCACTGAGCCAGGAGCTTGAGGAGCTATCCACTGACACTGCACGCAGGTAAAGCTACTCCTGCTATCCAGGGATAGCTCCTCTTTGCTTTTTTTGGGAAGGCACAGGTGGAGAAGAGTTGCAGGGCTGTGAGCCTGAGTGCCACTGATTGTTCAAGCACCTTCTTGACTTACTTTCAGCAGATTAAGGCAAACTGAGGCTTCCCTAGAGAGCTGGTCCCATTGGGATAGAGGTGAAGGTACGGCTGGGCATGGCTGAAGGCACCAGCCCACCCCACTCCCTGTAAGATGCTGTGCTGCTGCAGGGTTTGCTTCTCGGAGGCAGCTGAAAGGGAGGAGAGGGCTGGGGAGGTCCTGGACCCTTTTCCATCCTCCCTGGGGAGCCTTTGAGCAGGAGGGCACTTGCTGAGAGGATGGGAGAGCTGGTGGAGGTGCTGCCTTGCCTCGTTGAGGTGAGCACGTGGTGTGAGTTTTGTCAAAGTGAACCCTGTGGCTCTCCCCATGTAGGTAAATCACATGGTCACTGCTCACATTGCAGATGTGCCTGGACAAAGGCTGCCCTGAGCGCTGGGGCTGTGCCTTAGGTGCCAGCTGGGTGTTGATGCCCTGCCAGTGCTCATTCCCAGTCGTGCTGCCACTGTGCTGGTGAAGTTTCCCTCTGATGTTTGACAGCTGTATTCCAGCCATTGGAGCACAGGTGGGAGGCAGGAGCCAGGCTCCTGGTTCTCTCCTTCTCATGGGCTGTCCCAAGCCACCCCTGGAAGTGCTATCACACTCCAGCATGGGACATTTGTTCCGTCTTCTGCCCTGTGGCACTCAGCAGGTGATGTCAGTGGGACACAGGACCTGGTGTCTCATCATTTTGCCTTGTTTTCTAGGAGACTGGGCTTTTAACAAAGGTGCTGGAGAAGTACTTTTCAAACTGAAGAGGTGCAGCTGGGGAGGATGAGGTCTGCAAGGTCAGCTCTGCGTGGTGAACTGAGGAGAGCATCGTCCTTGTGGGTTTCTATAGCAACATCATTTTATTTATTCTTTCTGTAATATTGTTAATAATGATTGTGTGTATGAAAAGTGGAGCCTCTCTGTATAGTTCCTGTATGTTTTGTGTGTTCTTGATGTCTGATGTGCCCCTGTGAATAAAGCTGGCTCTTTGCACAGACTCCTCTGTGGGGTGGGAAGGCAGACCCCAGTGCTTGTGCAGGGACAGTGGGGACTTGGGAGCACCTTGGTGGGGGTTGGAGGGAAGCTCCTGGCTCTCAACAGCCAGGAGGGGTTGGATTCAGTCCCTGCAGCCTCTGCTGGCTGAAGGAGGCCTAAACATGAGAAAACAGCACACTTGGGTGAGCTGATCACAGCACTCACTACTGGAACATCCTTGTGACCCTCTTTACTGGGAATATCACCAGCAAAGTCTTGTCATGGCAGTGGTGGGATTTCTGGCTCAAGCAGGGTCCCTACCTCATGGCACCCCAGGCTTAGCTACAGGCTTGTTGGCCTTGGCTGTACCATTAAACAGTCAGGCCAATTATGACCCTGCTTTGGGATGTTCACTCACCTTGTGCACGTAGTTAAACACTCACGTGGGCAGAGGAGGAGCCCTGGGGCCCTCCCTTGTGCAAGACAGTGGGAGAAAGGCACCAGTGGGGCTGCCTGAAATAGGTGATGGAACACAGTCCCCGGAGCAGGCTCTGGTTCTGCAACTTCTAAAAGTGCTGCTCGTAGATGCACCCAGTGTCCCCCAGCCACTGAAATGGAACCCAGTCCTGGAATCACAGAATGGGTTTGGGTTCGAAGGGACCTTAAAGCCCATCTTGTTGCATCCTCTGCCATGGACAGGGACACCTTCCAGTAGACCAGGTTGTTCCCAACCCCCTCCAACCTGGCCTTCAACACTTCCAGGGATGGGGCAGCCACAGCTTCTCTGGACAACCTGGGCCAGGGCCTCACCACCTTCACAGCCGAGAATTTCTTCCCAATGTCCCATCTAACCCTGCCCTCTGGCAGTGGGAAGCCATTCCCTCTTGTCCTGTCCCTCCATCCCTTGTCCAAATTCCCTCTCCAGCTCTCTTGGAGCCCCTTTAGGCACTAGAAGGGGCTCTCAGGTCTCCCTGGAGCCTTCTATTCTTCAATTGCAACTGTCTCAGCCTTTCTTCGTTGGAGAGGTGCTCCAGCCCTTGGAGCATCTCTACAGCCTTGGACATGTCCCCAGGAAGAGCTAAACCTGGCAGCAGATTCCCCAGAGTGATGCTGTAAGTGAAACCATAAACTTTCACACCCCGCTTCCCACACTTCTAATACTAAATTCGACCTGATCCTTTGATTCCACAGGGAGGAGACCCCTTCTCCCAAGAGCAACAGGAGCCCAGAGCCTCGTCGTACCAAGCCAAGGGATGATCCAGCATCTGAACATGCTAATAACTAGTAAAGAGATGAAAACCACGGTAGGAAACCTTCCCACCTTGCTCCCTATCCCTTCAAGGATAGTTCAGATCTTTCAAAACCTCCTCTGCTTCACTGGAGCAGCCCTGGGGAAGAGCATCACGTTACTGTCACTTAAAACCTCCCAAGTTCTCCAACCTGCTGGTGAACACCCCACGTGTAGCTATTCCCTTCCTGTGTCCTTCATGATCTCCTACCCCCCAGCTTTGCTCAAGATGTTTCCCACTGTCCTGCAGCCATCCATACAGGAATCTTTCCTCCAATCTGTACTTTTTCACCCAGACTGGCTCCTGTGTGCTGGGATGTGGGTGACCCCCAGCTCACCTTTCATTAGCTGGAGCAAAGCCTTGGCTTAAAATTAATTATAAGCAAGAAAAATAATGACACTGTGGATCATGTTTGACACTGGAGGAGACCAGATGCCCCTCAGCCGGCAGCGTGAGAGGGACTGACAGCCTAATGCGGTTCCTGACCTGATGTTGTGTCATGGGACCACTCAAGCAAGCTCACAGAAAGGTGAGCAGGTTCCTGACCGTGAGGCAACCAGGTGAGATCCTTGTTCTCCCACCCACCCAGGCAGAACCTGTCCTGTCTGTCTGTCTGTCTCCCCTCCCCTCACTGCTGTGGATTGAGATAAAGAGGGGGGAGGTCACTCAATGATCGCTGTCAGGGGGAAAACAGACTCAACTTGTGGAATATAAATTAATTTATTGTCAATTTGTATAATATAAGTATTTGAGTACTGATTCAGCTTTTGGAAACAAACAACCCTCCCCAAGCATTTTCACACCTGGGGAAGCCACCTCCTCATGACCTTGCTGCTCAAGGGTTCAAGGATGACCCTCCATGCTGCTGCTTACTCAAGCCCTTACTCACAGCAGCATCTGATGCTTCTGCACACCACGAGCAGAGATGCAATGAGGCCACTCAGGTAAGGTCACTGGGATGACCTCCCTGAGGTGCTCAGACCAGTGACACAGATCCTCAGGAGCCCTGACAGCTCATGGACAGCTGGGACTGTCACTGTTCCTGGGCTTCCCCCACAACCTGAGGCCATGGCATGACCCCAGGGATGGGAAAAGGACATGAAATGAGACAAATGGAGACAAGCCACCTTCACCACTGACATTTGTCTCTCTTTAGTTGTGGGACTGGCTCAGATCAGGAGCTGGCTCAGAGGGATGTCAGTGAAAGTCCACTGCCACCACTTGGTGTCATTGCTGCCCCAGGTTTACTGTACCTGACCCAAAGTCCTCTATATGACCCTACTCAGAAGGAGAGGTTCTTATGGTGTCCATGCACCAAGTGCTGCTGCTTTGGGCTGGAGACACGGATCATTTCAGCCACACACCCACAAAGACTTTTTTATGGGATGGAAACAGCTCTAGTGCAGCATAGACGTAACCAGCTGTGGGGCTGGATGAGCACCCTCCCTCCACATGGGACTCTCAGAATCATCAGGGCGATGGAGTGCAGCCAGAGGAGGTCCAACATAATCTCACTGCCATTTTCTATTTGTTATGATGCATTTTTGACAGCCAAGGACTATAATAGGAATAAGGTATTCATATATTAATTGGTTCCTTATGCTTGTGGGGTATAAAATATCGTCAGTGGGATAAACCTAGCATAAACCTAGCACTGGGAAATTGTATTGCAGCAGTAACAGCTCATGGAGTGCATGTTCCTGCTGTGCTGCAGAGGAAGGGGCCATAAACCAGCTCCTACCATGTCCACCAGGCAACCTTTGGACCCCTTGTACAATGCTAAGACTCTGCCAGGAATTGTAGAACTGCAGAAACGGCCATGGAATTGATGGATTTTATAAAATGTGTGTAGGTCAGTACAGCCACACTGAGGTGTTTTCCCAGTGGGGAAAGCCAATCCAAGCAGTAATTCAGGCAAATCTCCTTCCTGAAGGAGTAGGCAGAGGTGGATACAGTAAGACCACTTCCTACTCCAGGCAAGATATAAAAAAAGTCAACTTAGGACACTCCTTTCTTTTAATTTCCAGCTCTCACTCTTCCCACAACATCGACATCCACCATCCTCTGATGAGCCGCGGAAGACCTTTGCCTCCAGGAGGAAATCTGTACCTGTTCAAGGTGTTTTCAAGTTAGAACCAACACAAACTGGTGCAGGGTGGTGGCACTGATAAGGGAACCACCAGCCTCCAGCATGTCCTCAGGAAGCAGCTCCGACCTGGCTGTGCTGCTGGTGGGGGGGGCAGCTGTGCTGCTGGGGGATGCAAGTGCCATGGAGAGGGATACAAGAGCTCCAGCAGGGCAAGAGGACTTGTGAGAATACTTAGCTGGGACTTGGGACAAGGGGGACTCTGTTCCTCTTGCCTGGGAACATTTGGGTGGTGGCCCTAGACCTCAAAAACCATGTCCTTTTTCATGGAAGGCCAGCTTCCCAGCTCCCTGCCATGTGTCCCTTCCCTGGAAGGAAGGGAAACACAAACTCTGGAAGGTTTTAGGGAACCAGTTCTGCTGTGAAATCTGTGTGACTATGGTGGGAGGAACAGGGCCACAAACTTTGTATAAATATTAGTGGGTGACCTCTGAAGGTCTCTAGTTCAACCTCACTCACAGCAGGGCTGTCACCAACTGCAAGACACCACCCCAAGGTGATGCTTTCTGGGACAAAATCACTGGGTGGGGACAGCTCTGGACACCAGCCCACAAGCCCTTGTGGCACCCAGAGCTGTCAGAGAACGTGCAGGGGAGACTTGGCCAACCTCAGATCTGCCTTGGATATCTTCCACCACAATGTTCACCCTCCTGATCCATGATCTGCAAGCTCACACCTTGCAGGAGGTGGTCCAAATTCAAGTGGAGGGATTCCAAGGCTGTCAGGGAGACATGAGACACAGGAGTTCCATGGAAAAATTTATATCATGTTAATTAGACCTCTGATGCCAGGGATTAAGGAGAAAGCTGCTCTCTAAGCTGCAGCCAGGGATGAAAGTGCTAATTACCACCCAGTGCATCATTAACAAGCCCCAGCAAAGCCCAGAGAAATTCAACTTGCTGATAGTTGCATCAAATTGGCAGGAATGGCTGTTATCTGTGGAGATAGGGGATGGGACAGTAAAATCCCTACTGAGTTGCATCCCAAAGGCTAATGCACTTCCTGACACTCATGCGGGGGCAGAAGAGCTCTGTCAGGTGAGGGAGGCCCTCAGGAATGAGGCTGGAGAGGCAGTCTGGGAGCTGGCAAACCCATTCGCTCTTTAGTGGGGAGGCAACATCCATGAGACAGATGCAAGATGAGAGGTGATGTCTTCTCCCTCTCCTCCATTCTCCCAGGGCATCAGGGTACCTGCTTAGACTCTCCCATGCTCCTTCCCCGTATCCCTCTGCTCCTGCAGCTGTTGCAGAGCTGGGATTAGGGCAGCATGGAAGGGACATTTTGGGTCTGTGGACAGGAGAGAGGGGCTGGACCTGCAGTCCCTCATCCAAGCTGGGCAATCCCAGCAAGGGGCAAGGGAAGGAAGAGGGAACAGCCCCATTCCCACATCGGGGTGTCCCCTTCCCCACCAGGGCACAGGTCTTAGAGCCCACAGGATCAGACATGGAGTCTCAGGGCAGGATAGAGATATTTGGGAAGGCAATGGGACAGCTGGGTTTCTGTCCCCTGGGTCTCTGACAGTACATGGAAACCCACAACAGCCCTGGCAGGAGCTGAAAGTCCTTTTGGGCCTGGGAGCAGAGACTATCAAGCAGCCCCCATGCAAGATGGTCTTCCTGGAGCATGCTTCAGAGGGTCCAGGCGATGTCCAGAGACTTGTTCCTCTCTTGCTTGATGGCTCTTGGAAAGGGCAGTGGGCTGAACGCTCAACACAATTTCTAGACAAGTATTTCCTCAAAGTGTGGCTGAAATCCCTTCTGTTTCGGTTCCCACTGGGATGACATGTGGCTCCTGCAGAGCTCTGCCTCCATCTCCTGGCAGCCCTTTCAGTTGACCCCGACTTGTCTCCATCATAAGATACGAAACCTATTGGTCAGTGTAGTGGGCAGCAACATCCTCCCCTTTGCTCAAAATGTTTAACTAACTTACAGAGCTGGAAAAATAGATCCTTCTTGCCAATATATCCATAGCCAAACCAGCACAGCCACAGCACCATAAACCTCTCTGCTCACCAAGGTGGAACTGATCAGAGAGGGTCACTCCATCCTTCCCTCCTGTTCTTCCTTTCAAGCTGCTCCATCATGAATCATTCAGCTTTGGCAAAGATTCCTGGGCAAGGATTCAAGCATCAGGATGGGACACAGGATGGTCTCCATCACAACAAAGCCCCAGCTCAGCTCCCACTGCAGCATTCCCCATGTCAGGGAACAGGACAGAGGGGTGATGGGGCAGCCAGTGGGGCAGGGTGACCGGGGCACAAGCACCACATCTGTCCCACTGGCTCCGATGGATCAGGCAGAAATCTTCCTGCTCAATCCCAAAAATCACCTCCCTGCCCAGGCATGTCCCCACGCCTTCCCCACCTCAATTCCCAGCACTGACAGAGGTGGCTGATCCAACACTTTTCGGCTGCTTGTGCAAGAGGTGCTGGATGCTGCTCCCCTCGCCCCCACCTCCCGCAGGTGACCTGGATCAGGTGACTCATCCCTAATCAGGAGATCCATCACTCCCAAGGGTGTGAAGCAGAGGCTGCCCAGGGAAGAGGGCAGGGTGCTGAGGTGGGAGCAGCGCCCTGAGCAGGAGGCTGTGAGCTGCTGGTGAGCTGCTGGTGAGCAGCACCCAGAACTGTTCCCTGGAAACTGGGATGAAGCTTTACCACCTACAGAAATACCCAGAAGATTTTAAAAAAGGAGGAAACCCCCCAAACTCCAGTTATAATAGTGGCCTCGAGCTTTCTGTAGGAGCTCCTCTTAGATGCAGAGTGCTGGGTGAGGGGTAAATCCAGCAACTTTTCCACACTTGCCAGCCCGTGGCCCCATCAGCACCCCAGGGAAGGGGTGCCACCATCCCACCCCACTTCCATCGCTGCTCTGGACAGATGAGGGAACCAGAGCAGCCCTGTGAGTTTCCCAATGTCCTTGCACACAAACCCTGTGTTGCTGGGCACCTCCTTTGGAGAAAGAAGGGAAATCCCTCCCCCTCCCTTTCGTCTTTGGCAAGAGGGCATCTCCCCAAAAGATATTTGTGATGCTCGTCTGAACAGCCCAAAACCCACTGCACCTCGATCTTTCCCCAGGCAAACTCCACACATTGGTTTAACAAAGCCAGTGCAGGGGTCATCCCTCTGCTGCCTCTTCCACCTCCAGGGAGTTCAATGAGGGATGGATTCTAAACACTTATCCCACGTACCCCTCACATGGTTCCATCTTCTACACCTAGATTAATCTCAGCCTGCTAATTACCAGTCACTGCCTCAGTTATCCCTCTCCCATGCTGGAGGGAGAGGTATTTCCACCTTTCCAAGCTGTCCAAAGCCTGTGTGTTTGTGAGAACACCCCTGAGGATCTGCATTTTTTGTGGTGAAGTCCACATCTCCTTCTGCTCTGCAGAGGCTCTCGGAGCTGGTGCCACATCCCCAGCAGACAGCCCCACAGCACATCTCTGCACACACATTCCTCAGCCATGGCACCCTTGCCACCCTGTACTTTCTTTCAACCACCTCTGTGGTGGAATTCAGTGTTCGGACTGAGTAGCACCACTTTGGCACTTGAGGGGAAATGTCAAAGTCTTTGCCCAAAAATGCCTTTATTTACTGCTGGGCATGAGTGAAAACTCATTTTTATATCCCTGTGCAAAGGGGGTCGGAAGCTCAGCTCTCCAGGGCACCCAGCCAGCCCATCCACAGGGATGCAGAAAGAAATACCCAGGGGATGGCTGTAACTGTGCCAGTTTTGGGGAGAAGTCCCCAAACATGGATCAGGAAAGTGTTTCTGCCACACCGGTCCCTCTTGGCACCAATGCAACCTGCTGCAGCCAACCAAACTGCCACAGAACAAGAGCAAACCCCAAAAGCTTGAATTTCCACGATCTCCACACCGTGACCAAGTTAGTAACTTGAGCATCTTCTGCATAGCAAGGCTGGGAGCACCTCTAGACCTGTGGGTCTCTGATGATCCCCCTTGCCAGTCACTCTGTCACCTTGCCCAGGGATTGACAGGTCAGCCAGGACCTTCCCAAGAAACTTGTCCCGCTGGATGGAGTCAGGAGCAGAGTCAAGCAGGAGGCTTTGCAGCCACAGGCTGTGCCAGGTGATCTCAGCTGGAATGTTTCATCAGGCAGTGCAGCTGAGGGCTTTGAGCCCTCTGCTCTCTCGCAGCAGGCTCCCGAGGAGCCTGGGAGCCCCAGGGTCTTCGTGCCATAAGGAACAGCTGAACTTTTCACCGCTCTGCAGGAAAAGTCAAGGAAAAGAAGGCAAACCTCTCCCAGTACTGTGCCAGCCTTGCCTACCCTGGGCAGGTAGCTCAGCAGGAGCGCCGGAGGGGGCCGATCCGCTGTGGGTAAGGCTGGATAATCCAGCCGCCCTTGGAGGCGGGCACTCTAAAAACACTGGGAGAAACACAGCCGTGATTCCACGCCGGGCGGGCAGGCAGCATCCCGAGGCAACATCCCGGAGCACAGCGGAGCTCTGCACAGCACCCATCCCTCGGGATCGGCCGCGGCAGAGGTAGGCTTGGCGTGGGGAAAGGGATGTGGGTGTTCCTGCAGCCACTGCTGGGATGGTCCCCATTCCCGAGGGATGCTGAGCAGCCCTTTCCTAGCGGGAAAGTGAGTTGGTCAAGTGCCGTGGCAAAAACATCTGGCTTCCCAAGCAGCATCTCTCTGCCCACCGTTCCCTCCAGCTGGCTCCTGGAACAGGCACCCTGCTGCCAGGGACAGACAGTTTCTCTGTCCCTTCCGAGTTATTCCCGTTTCCCGTTTCTTTGGACGATGAGGAGTTAAGTCCGTCGGGGCTCAGCGAGGAGCAGCTCGATGGGGCACAGCCCGTGTTTTTGCTGTGATTCACCAGCGCCCCGAGCACAGCAACCGCGAACGGGAGCCAGGCTGTAGAATAAAGGGCTGAACTAGGGAGGGAGGAGCACGGGGGAGACAGCAGGGACGGAGAACAGGCGGAGGAGAGGAGTGAGTGGCCCAGTGGTGTTTGCATGTCTTACTGACCCACACTGGGGACAACTTGAGGATTGCAGCAGATGCCCTGGTGACTCCAACCCAGCTTTGCTCTGGGATATACCCTGAGGAGATGGAGGGCTCCCGTGGGAGATGCCTGAGTATGCCCCGTGTGGGGCTGCAGTGTCCCAAGCACTGGGGGTGCACACACAGCTGTGCCTGGCACAAGAAGAGTGCTGGCAAGGGGGCAGGAGATGGTTCTGGGGACAAGGCTGGGTGTGGTGGAACTGTGGAGGTGATTTTTGCTCCACTGTCTCTCTGGTGTCAATTTCCAGCCCTCCCAGGCAGGAGGATGACACTGTGGAATGGCTCCTACCCCTTCTACCCCGGTGCCAATGCCCGTTTCCCCTTTGACACCACCCGGGCTGTCATCATCACCATCTTCCTCTCCATGTTGGCCACTTTCATCATCATCCTGCCGGGGATCAGGGGCAGGGGGGTAAGTGGAGAGGCAGGGGAAGTACAGCCCTCTGGTCTCTGAACTATGTATCCCACATTCCTCCTCCTTCCCAGCCTTGAAAAGAGCTTTGGGGAGCAAACCTGCCCACAGGTTCATGGGCAAGGCTCTGGGATTTCTAGCAAGTCAGAGGGGTGAGCACCAGCCCATCCCAGCATGGACCCCATGCTACAGACACCACTCCACCATCCCAAATTTCTGAGGCAGCTAGATTTGAGCTTGGCTTGATTTCTCTATGAGCAAGGCCAAGTGACTTCACAGGAGTGGAAAAGCAGGGTGAGGCTCAAAGATCTCTCTCCACCTTCCCTGAAACCTCAATAAAAGAAGGAGGTGTGCACTGGGCATGTCCCAGCACTGCTCACTGGGCTCTGTGTGGCGTTCAGACCCCACTGCAAGCCACGTGCTTGTTGTGTGCTTGGCTTTGCAGCAGGACTGGCTGAGGGGCTTCTGTCCCACAGGGGACACACTACAAATGCCCGGTCACTACTTCTGCACCCAGCAGTGGCCAGCTGCCAACACATCCAAACAAGATGTTTGGATAAGTGTGGAAATTCCAGATCAAGACTATTTAAGGGAGTGCCCCCACGCTCCTTCCCAGAAAGGGGATGTCGCAGCTTTCCCCAATGGGCAGTTTTGATCTTCGTGGCTCTGTCTGGATCTCCCTGCTGCCTCCCCACCATCACAGCAGGGTTGTGGTGGGTGCCACCAGCCACACGTCCCCCACATGCCCCCTGCCTACAAAGCACATGGTGTGACTCCCCGAGGGAGGGATGGGCCTGTTCCTCACCATCTGGTGTTTCTAAATGACATGCTTGGTGCTGAGGTCCCCATGGCAAAATCTGGCTGAGATCTGTCCCCTTGCTCTGCTCACCCCTGGCAGCGACTCTTCTGGTTCCTGCGGCTGGTGATGGGACTCTTCGTGGGAGCAGTGGTCCTCAGTGAGTACTGGGGTCCTGGGGGGGAAGATCAAGGATGCCCAAGGCATGGAGAAGAAAAGTGAGGGAGCATGAACAGAGCAGCCAAGCACCAAGTCCAGCCTGTAGGATGAGTTCATGGGGAAGACCCACACCCATCTTGTGTCTGGGACCTGGCTCCAGCAACTGGGAGAAGGTGCAAGTCTCCTCTCTGAAGGCTGGTGGTCATATCCAGGGCGGTCACCAAAATCCCACCACCAAGTTCCAGGCAGACAAATTGGAAGGTGCTTAGATGAGGACCAGTGCCCAGACAGTGCTGACACACCAGCCCCACTGCCTCGAGGGTTAGGGACTGCACTGGGGCTGGGGAGAAACTAACCCAAGTGGGGCTCTGAGGGTCATGAGTCAGGGCTGATATTGGGGAAGGACATACAAGACTTTTCCTCCTTGTGGTTCACAATCCAGTCCTAGTCCTTGGGATGAGGCAGGTGATGCCCAGGCCATGGTGACCAAGCAGGTGCTTCCAGCACTAGATGTCTTGCTACCAGGCCATAACTAACTTCTGAAGTCTTCACAGCCATACAGTTCACCAGGGACTGGGAGACTGGCTGGGTGCAGACAAACACCTCCTACAAGTCCTTCAGCCGTGCCGTGGTGAATGTGGACATCGGGCTGCACATTGGCCTGGAGGGAGTGAACATCACACTCAAGGGTGAGTGCACATCACAACAGGAGGGGACTGGGGGCAAGTTTGGCAGCCATACACCTAGATACTGGGGCTGTGGGCCCTGCAGCCCCCACACCAGCAAGTCTTGGAGCTGTCTCCAAGGCTGCTTAGTCTTCATCACCTGGCAGGAAACCCAGTGAAGCAGATCAATGAGACCATCAACTACAACGAGTACTTTTCCTGGAGCTTCGATTCCAACTATGACCGCAGCTACACCGAGGGGCTGGAGAAGGGGCTGCCCAGCCCCATCCTCTACGTGGCAGAGAAGTTCACCTCGCAGAGCCCCTGTGCCGTGCACAGGCAGTACCGCATCTCCGGCCACTACGCCTCGGCCACGCTCTGGTGAGTTAGAGACAGAGAAGTCAGCCCTGTTTCTGCTCTGGAAAGAACCAGGTAGAGCAGAGGGAATCTGATGGAGCCACCCTCTTCCTGTAAGGCCATACCAAAGCCTTGGCTTTCTGCAGAATCGAGGATGCTCATGCTTCCTGGCCTGTCATAGAATCATAGAACAATAGAATCATAGAATCACAGAAAGGTTGGGCTGGAAGGGATCTTAAAGCTCATCTTGTTCCACCTCCTGCCATGGATAGGGACACCTTCCACTAGACCAGGTTGTTCCAAGTCCCATTCAACCTGGCCTTCAACACTTCCAGGGACAGGGAAGCCACAGCTGCTCTGGACAATCTCTGCCAGGGCTTCACCATCCTCACAGCCAACAATTCCCTCCCAATATCCCATCTAACCCTGCCCTCTGACAATGGGAAGCCATTCCCCCTTGTCCTGTCCCTCCATCCCTTGTCCAAATTCCCTCTCCAGCTCTCTTGGAGCCCCTTTAGGCACTGGAAAGGGTATTAAGGTCTCCCTGGAGCCTTGTCTTCTCCAGCTGAATACCCCCATCTCTCCCAGCCTGGATCCAGAGCAGAGAGTCAGCTTTTACCCATCTCTCTGGAGCCCTTTTCTGTGTCCTCTGTCCTGATGCACAAAATTATGGTCAGAGAAAAATTATTCTTCATTTAAGGGAAAACAGATGCAGCTGTGAGGCTTATAGTTCAGGATCCTCTCCCAAGGACTAAGATAAGGAGCCCCAGTAAGACCAATTATGAGAGGCTTCCTGTTGTATGCCCAAGAGGGCATGAGACCTGCCTGTGGGAAGCAGGAGGGACCATCATGAGGGTGCTCAGAGGCTGTCTTGTGGTGCAAAGCTGAGAGCCCTTGTGTGTTTTGTGATTGTGGAGTCTCGGAGCACCCCCATGTGCCTCAGAGGTGGTGGGAAAGAGTGAGGAAAGAGTGAGCCTTGCAATTCTCCCTATGGGGAAGGGCTCCAGCTCCCTGTCTACATCTCCTGTTTCATTTTCAGGAAAAATAAATATCCCTGCCCAAACATTCCTGTTATTGAGGAGGAGTATTTCAAGGAAGGAATGTTGATGAAAATTTGTTTTTCATTATTATTCTTGGAATAAGAAAAACTGAGCTGTTAGGCTCAGCTCCCCAGTGGGCTAAACCTAAACCTCACACACAGGGCAGGGCTGGTAGCTGGGTTCACTCCAGGTGCTGAATCAGCTGTGGGCATGGCTCAGGGTGCGGTTCTCCAGACAAAAGTGTCCCTTGGTGCCATTGTCCTTCTGAACAGGTAAGAACTGCCTGGGGGTGGCCAGTTGTGGGTGATCACAAGAATCAGAAAAAAAAGTTAATTTGGAGGGATGTTCAGAGGTTTCTACTCCTGCCCCATATCCAGAGCAGAGCTGATGTCAAAGCCATATCAAGGTGCTTGGGGCTTTGCAAAGTTCAACACTGAATGTTCCCAGGTGTGCAGATCCCTCTCCACCACTGCTGGACCTGTCCCACAGCTCCACCACTCATGTAGTTACAGAATTGTTTGGGTTGTAAGGGATGTCCTCTGATCAGCCTGTCAGCCCACCTGCCAAAGCAAGGCCAGCTAGAGCAGGTTGCCCGGGGCTGTGTCCCTCCATCGGGAAGTGGAGAGGAGACCCTGAGTGGATTCTCCAAACATGCATCCCAGGATGCTTCCTACTTGGTTTTATGGTCCTTTCACAGGTTGGCCTTCTGCACATGGCTCATTTCCATCTTGCTATTCTCCATGTCCATCCTGCTCCGTGGTGGTTACATGCTTTTGCTCACTGCCGCACTGATCCTCTTCTCACTGCTCTTCTTCTTCACTGCGAGGAACACCCCCAAGTGCCCCATCCAGTTTGGCCCAGTTTCCTTGAAAACAAACTATGGTGAATCCTTCTGGCTGGCATTAGTGACAGGTGAGTGCTCAGCTTGCTCCAGGGGCTTTTCTTTTCCATCCCTGCAGAGATGATGTTCAGTGATGTCTCAACAGGACTTCACCCCTTCTGTCTCATGGCTGGTCACAGAAAATTACTTTTTTTAATTTTTTTTATTGTTTTTAATGGCATAAAAGACTTTTTTCCTCCAAGGCTGGGGGTAAAAGAGATGAGCAGTCAAGAGATATGAATGGCTGAAGTTGTCTGCTGGAGGTGTGCCCAGAGGAGAGTGTGACAGTCAGGAATTGCAGAGTCAGGGAAAGACCTGGCCTAGAAGGACCCTCAGGGGTCCCTCTCTCAGAACAGGGATAACCTCAAAGCCACATCAGCCTTATTCAGTCTGGTGGTGTATGTCCCCACAGACAGAGATTCCCTCTGCCTTTCAGAACCTGCCCCATAGCAGTCCCACTCACGGGGAGCAATTATTTCCTTTCATCAAACCAGAATTTCCCATGTTACAACACCTCAAAGGACAGATGGCAACTAAGTTCCCTGGACACTCCTCTTTTTCAGGCTAAACAAGCCCAGCTCCTCCAACCTTTCCCCAGCTCCAGCCCCAACTCTCTGCCCCAGTTCACTGACCCCTCTTTTTTTACTGGAGAGCCCAAACTGATGTCAGAATCCAGATGTGGAGAGGGAAATAACACCTTCCCTAGACCTACCAGGGGATGCCACATGTCACCATCCTCTGGCTGGATCTGGATGGAGCTGGGACACACTGGGAGGAGGTGTTAATATGTCCCTGTGCTGTGCATGGCAGGGCTGCTGTGCCTGCTGCTGGGTTTGGGCGTCATCATCCTGAACTCCGTAGAGCCGGAGAAGCTGAAGCTCATCTTTAACCTGGGCAAGAAAAAGGGAGCAGAGGAGGTGTGGGACAAGCCCTGCCTGCTGGCCGAGCCCAGCTGCTCCGTGCAGGACGTGCTGATGGTCCCACCAGGCGAGCTCTCCGAGGTGACAGCCACCCAGCTGTGAACCACGGGGGAGGCAGGGCAAGGCCTGAGGACACTGCTCCTGAATTCACCAAATCCAGCAGGAGCCCAGGTGGGAAAAGACACAACAAGTGCCATGTGATGAGAATGTCCAAATCTGGAAAGATGTCTCAAATAGAAGAGTTTGTCCTTTTCTTTTTTTTTCTCTGTTGTTTTACTCAGCAGCAGCTGGAAGAAATTTTGTTGTGAGGAGAACCCATGCCCCAACCTTGGCTGTCCAGTTCCAGGCACCGGGCTACTGCCCTTCCCCTTAGTCCATCCCAACAAAGCCTGAGTCCTCCCCAGGGTACAGAGATCAAACCAGAACAAACTGGGGAGAAACCAAGTAACTGCAGACTCACTGACATGAACCAAAGGAGAAGTAGAGCCCCTGCAACAGCACCCCCACCCTGACGACCCCCAAGAAATCCCCTCTGCCCAGGGATGCTCTTCCCGTCCGTGGTCAGGAAGTACAGGTGGAGCTGGGCTCACCAGGGTGCCTTGTATCCAGCATCTCCTCTTGGGGTGAAGGGCAGGATGGCAAGGAGGACCATGATTTAGCAGGATGCTGGAAGTCCCAGATCAGGTGGGAGGGAGGGAGAGGAGAAGGTGGGAACAGAGGTGCTACAGTGCCTTGGAGATCGGCTGTAACCAACCAGAGACAGGGGAGCAGCACCTCTGGTCTGGGAGGCCTGTGTTCCTGCTGCTCAGCTGTGAAAACACTCATGTCATGGGGCATGAGACACTGGAATTCTGCACACCCAAGGTGGATGCAGCCACCCAGTCCTGGCTGCTGGCACCTTGCCCACACGGGGAGGGAGGGAACACAGTGCAGGTTTGCACTCCTTTTCCCCTGTGCAGATTTCACAACTTCTTTTTTTCTGTTTTGTGCTCACTTATTTTCCCTGTATCTCAATAAAATAAGTTGGACCTGGCCTTTCACTTGTCTGTTGATAGAGGTATCCCTCTGAGGGCTGAAGGCAGCCACAGGGAGGGGAGAAGGAAGAGGTAAAGCCCTTCAGTGGTCCTGTATGGGGCATCCGACTACAGCCGGTTGGTTCAGGGCAATAAAGTCAATATGCCCTAAAAAGGGTATCAGGACACCCCCAGGCAAACAAGCAGGGGGGATATGGAAGGACTTTAGCTCCTGGAGCGCCCCCAGGCATGTGGAAGGTTTGATGGGAGTGATCTCTAGCCCAGCAGAGGAGTTTGCAGAGGGATCACCATGGGGCAGGACCTCTGGGGAGGAGGTGCTCAGCCATGGCACATCCCACTCCGGATGGAAGAGCCTTCAATGAGAACCAAGAGAACTCAAAACTCTTTGGAGCTGAACTCCTTAGGCTTGGGAGACCTCAGGGCAGGATGTTCACAGTGATTTCTACCAGAAGATGCTTCAGCCTACAGATGGACTAGATCTAAGGCACAACAAACCCCTTTAATTTATTCAATAGAAATTCAGCCCTCAGAAACCTCTCCTCTCATACCCTTGTATGTCTGATGCAACAGCATCCTTCTGGTGAGGATGCTCTTGAGGAGGAATCATGCCCAAAAGCAGGAGATTAAGGTTGGAGAGAGCCAGATGCAGTGGCAGAAAGGATGGGAAACTCCTCAGCCTCCTGTGCTTACAGTCATGGGATCTGTCCCACACCAGCCCCAGCAATTTGTGGTTGGCTGTAGCATCTTCCCATCGATGCCTTCATGCCTGACATGTTTGGATGCAAGAAATTCTCAAGAAAGGATCCTCCTTTGCCTAAGGGAGTTTTGTTGGTTTAATCTCATGGCTTTTGTCCCACCACTCAGCTAGTTAAAGTCCTTTTGAGGTTCTCCTACACCCTCACAACATGCTGCTCCTCAGGACAAAGGTTTCTCAGTGGCTTACCTTGAAATGTGCCAGCGAGACTTGTCCTTCCTTTGGGGCATCCTCCCTGTGGGAAGGTGGCTGCTGCTGGGGGCTCTCCAGAAGTCACTTTAAGAAACCAGCCCCCAAATGCCCATAGTGTTTCAAATGAGAGGGTTTTTAATAAAGTTTTATTGAAAATAATTCTCATATATAACAAATCACATTAGTGCAACATAAATATCATGTGACAGAAATAAGTAACTTAATAGCAAGGGCCTTAACAACCCTCAGAGCATCTCCGGGGCCTCCTCTGGCCTGGCTCCAGCAGCTCCACATTCTTCTGATGTTGGGCTCCAGAGCTGGAGGCAGCTCTGCAGGTGGGGTCTCACCTGAGCAAGGCAGAGGGGCAGAATCTCCCCCTGTCCCGCTGCCCAGACAGCCCAGGTGTGCTCCAGCTGGACAGGAGTAACTTCATTCTTCCCTCTCCCTCCTTTCCTGTGGCATCTTTTTGGCCCACACCTGACTACATGTCTTGTCTAATAAAGCCCAAATCTGAAAGTGAAAATAAGACCACCATCACATTTTCCTCAGCAAACTCCATTGTACATTTACTCAGTCATTATTACTGGAGCAGTTTTTTATTCCAGCTCCTGCCACATCCAGCCTGCGGAGCCCTGGATCTGGGCCTGGTTTTCCTGGGTTCACCTAAAGTTCTACATGAAATGTCAGTGCTTGGAGAAGAAAGGAGCAAGTTTAATCCCTGGAGTCATGGGTGTTGTGGGTGGTCCCCATGAGGAATGTCACCTGTCAGCTCAGTTTTTCAGTTTCAGTGGGAACTGGCCATTGGAGATTTCTGCTCCACACTGTGCCAGGGCAGGGAGCAGGAAGGGATTTTCTCCTGGCACAGAGACCCCCAGGTAAGTGCAGCTCAAGTTTCGGAGCTGTGAGCTGCTCTGATTACAGCTTGCCAACAAAGCCTGCCCTTTTCCAGAGGGCACTGTCAGGGAAATAGTCTGTGAAGGTACTTCCCAGCACGGACCTGTCCAAATGTGGACTTCAAAGGCAGTTGAACAGGGTAATGCATCTGTGGGAACATCAAGAAGGGTTTGTGTTCTGCCCTTTCGGGCTCACCTTCAGGGAAGGAGTGGGAAAAACTTTCTTCTAGAGGCTGTTGGTTTCAGAGGGCTGAGGAGGAGCCCCTGCCTTGTTCACAACATAGGAGTTGACGTGCACTTCAACCATTTCCTGGTGCTCCTCAGCCTTGTCCTCGCGGAGATCGAAGAAGGTTTTCAGCAAGTCCAAGTTGAGGTGGTGCAGTGCCACAACGGTGATCCCAGCCACAAAACAGAGCAAGCCTGGAAACAAACATGCTCTCTGGGAGGGTTCCTGTGCACACCAGCACAGTTCCCAGCCCACAGCCCCCCTCTGAGGGTCCCCTGCCAGGGGACAATGCCTTTGCTTATGGAAGATGGCCTTCCACTGTACGAGGGGGCTTCAGCCTTCAGCTGCACTGAGTATCTTAAAACCCAGGCAAGTGATCCCCATCTCTTTGCATCTCAGGAACTAAAAATCCCTTCACTGCCCTTGAGATGGGGATGGTGCTCCCCCTTCTGCCACTCCTGTCCACACCTCTGGCCAGGATCTGCTTTGCCAAGGCACAGGCTGGAGCTCCGGGGGACTGCACTTCCCACCTGGGATGAAAACACTGGGACTCTTTCACACCCAGAGGGACAAGGTGGTGTGCCCTGGGGCACCGTGGTGTCCTTACCAATCGCTAGGGTGAGCCAGAAGGATCCCCCATAGGCTACATGCAGGGTTGCAGTCCCAATCTGGATCGGGCACATTGGGGAGTTCCTCACAGTGGAGAACGAGAGCAGTGAGAAGGTCACGAAGGCCCCTGTGACCAGGAGCATGTAGCCTCCATAGACAAGGGCAGGCATGGAGAAGAGAATGTTGGAGATGATCCACGTGCAAAAGGCCACCCTGGAGACAAGAGGAGACCAACAGATGAGTCATGTGAGTGCCACGGACTAGGGTGCTCTATGTGAGGATTTCCATGTGGGAAGAGAATCTGGGCTCCAGGGTGCATTGTGCAAGGTGGAGAAGCTCTGTGGGCAGGCAGGAGTGATCCCTAATCCCCAGGCTGAGCAAACAGATGTGCAGAGCTCACACTGCTACACCCAGAAGGCAGAAACATGTATTTTCTCTTTGCATTGCTCAGCCCACAGACAGCACCAGCCTGAAGGAGGCTGTGGCATCCCATTTGGTGTATCTGGACCACCTCAGCTCCCTGCTCTTCCACATGTGGGGCCAGAGAGCCACACAGAGGACTGTGGTAAATGTAGAAGCAGGCAAAAGTCATTGGCAGCAGCTCTGCATTTCACTGAGGAGCTGGGTGACAGGGGAAGTCCTCAGTTATGGGCCAGGAGCTTTTGCTCCATAGCATCACCAGGCCACTTTCTTAACTTCTGCATCCCTGCTGTCAAACACAGAGCAGGGAGAACAGCACTGCAATGGCCCTTGACCTCCACAAGCCATGGTGGATGGGACCACATCCTGACAGCTGTGGGCCAGCTTTCCCTCATCCCCAGTAAGCAGTGAGCAGTTGGAAGAGTTCTTCATGTGTCTGTGGCCCTCTCTGGGCCACTAACTCCATCCATGGACCTCTGCCATAACTACCACATCACAGCAAAGACCTGCACCATGTCCTCTCTCCTGTGCTGAGCCCTGGTGGATTTGGCCAGCAGAGAGAACCAGGACCTCCTCTCTGCTCACTCTAAAGTGCCTACAGGGCAACCAGTTTGACTGCAGGCCTTGCAGGGGCCTCTCCATGCACACAGCATTCCTACTAGCAGGATGCAATCCCATCCATCTCAGAGGCCTAGGGAAAAAGCTTCAGAGCCCTTCCCACGTCCCTGCATCTCCTGTGCCTGCACCAGCAGAGGAAGGCTCACCAGAGTGTGGCCGAGGCGTAGTGGCCGGAGATGCGGTACTGCCTGTGCACGGCGCAGGGGCTCTGCGAGGTGAACTTCTCTGCCACGTAGAGGATGGGGCTGGGCAGCCCCTTCTCCAGCCCCTCGCTGTAGCTGCGGTCATAGTTGGAATCGAAGCTCCAGGAAAAGTACTCGTTGTAGTTGATGGTCTCATTGATCTGGTTCATTGGGTTTCCTGAAGGAGGGAGAAGCCGAGGTCCTGCTGTGTGCCAGCACCTGGGCACTGCCAGCCAGGAGCACGGGCACAGCAAGGTCCCGGGAGCCTTGCCACAGACCAAGGGCTCCCTCAGGGCAGTTGAGGACTCCTGGTGCCATGGCCACTCCAGAGCTTCAAACAGGGATGTCAGACTCACCCTTGAGTGTGATGTTCACCCCCTCCAGGCCGATGTGCAGCCCGATGTCCGCGTTCACCATGGCACGGCTGAAGGACTTGTAGGAGGTGTTTGCCTGCACCCAGCCAGTCTCCCAGTCCCCTGTGAACTGGACTACTGCCAGGAAAAGTAAAGCTTGGGTTAAAATGGGGCTGGTCTCAGGCTTTGTCATGCTCAAGGGGAGAATCACGGGTGAGCACCAATGGCAGTGTTCCCACCACAGCACTGGAAGGGAGTGTTAGGAGGGCAGGAGACCTGACTCAGCCACCAGGACGTGCCTCAACCAGCTCCCACACCCTGGTGAGCTCAGGTTCTCCCCTTGCTACACATCAATCCCCTGGATCTGGGAGCAGCAGAGCTCAGATCACCAGGGATGACTGCCATGACCTGATTCCTCCTTGGACATCCTCTCCGGGGCTTCCCTTCCCCACCACAGCAAGCACTACAGCACCCCGGGACAGGGCTCAGAGGTGAGTCTGGTTATCAGCCACAGGAACAGGGGTGAGTCTCAGTCCACATATTAAGCTCTAAACTGCACTATTAGTGAATAGTGAAGGTCACTGTCAAACAGAGGTGATGCAGAGGGGTGGGAAGTGCCATCACAGCTCGGACAGTCATTCCAGCTGGGGGAAAAAGAAAAATTTGCAGCATTTCTGGTAAATGTTTTTTGGAACTAGGCATCCTTTTCTGAAGCACTTCTACTTTGTGATGGGTTTCATTTTCCAGCAAGGAAACAGGCTGAAAATGAAGCCAATGATTTGATCTCAGGTTGGACAACAAAACATGCCTGAAAATAAGTTTGGCTGCTGAATCAACTTGTGAGGGCACTGATCCAGTGGCAGCTCCACAGGAATGTTTTCTGGCCGCAGGAGTGAGGGTGCCCTGCTGCTGCCAGCAAACTCTGACTCTGGCTCCAGAACAATTCATTCCTCCCGTGTGCCCAAGCAGCACCTCTCCGCATCCTTGTCACAGAGCAGCACTGGATGGCTCTCCAGGGATAAGGCTGGATAAGGCTGTGGAGCCAGCCCTGACCTGGTCCATATGTCTGGCAGCTGGTCACAGCCTGGCTACCTGCTTCTTGTGCCTGGTTGAATCAGGGGCTGAGTCTTTTGGGTTGTACTTCATCATCCCTCTCTGAGGATCCTGTAATCTACCCTGTTCTTCACAGCAGCAGGGTTTCTTTGACTTAGGGTCAGGGCTGGTTGCTCTCACCACCTGGCATCTTCTATCCCTTCAGTACCTCTTTCCTTACCCATCCTATTGCCCTGTCCAAGCTGGAAATCCCACTGCCTGGTTTCCACCATCAGTTATTACAGAAGATTTCCTGGCTTTTACTAAATCAAATCCTCTCCATCTCCTCCCACCTTGCCTCTGGGAAAGTCTTTACCCCACCACCACAGCCACTGCCCTGCTTGTGTTTTATTCCAACCTGCTCCCTCCACGTCACTGCAAGGCTCCTCACATGCCCAAAATGTGCCTGGCTGCAGCCCTGGGCAACACAGGAGGGCTCACACAGCAGGGGAAGAGAAGAGAAAATTGGTGAGGAGGATTGTAACACTCTCAACCAACTTGCAACTGGAGTGTAGAAAAACCCATAGACCATACTAATCACTGTCTAGCCTTGTGTGTTGGAGAAGTGGAACATCTATGTTTAGACAGCTCATAGGCACCTATTGAACGGGCTTGAGATCCTGCACTGCTACGGGAAAGATCAAAGTACATCAGTAAACTACACCTGCACAAATCCCTGGAATACAGAGAGTGAGAAGAGCAGGTTTGGTGACCCTCTAGCACGGACTGAGCCACGCTGTACCAGTGTCCCCTCCCTGCCTGTGTGCCACCGCCTGGTGCTCTTAGAAGATCCTCCAATAGAAGAGGTAACAAAAATAAATCTGCTCTTTGCACTTCACCCCTGGTTTTGTGCCTGTTCCTGTGTCCTGCCTCTGTCGAGTCACACACACGGCGGGAGGAACACGGGGCTGTGCAGCCCGGTGGAGCTGGGGTTATTTGAGTTAAAGTCAGCAAAGCTCTCAGAAGTAACCACGAGCACCTCCAAGTGCTCTCAGCCCCTGTGCCAGGGATGGGGAAGGGCTTTTAGAAAGCTGTGTGAGTGCTTTGCAGAGCAGGGGTAAGGTGGGCCCTGCAACCAGTCTTGACCAAACTACGGCTGTGACCCCCAGCTCATATTTCCCAGACACAAACCCTGTCCTGGGGTTTAATCCCACCCCCAAATCCCCCTTTGAGGACTGCACAGCACTTACCAACGATCACCACTCCCACGAAGAGGCTCAGGAGAACACGGAGAGTCCAGTACAACCTCTGCAGGGAGAGAGGTGGGACATCAGGCAGGGAGGAACAGCCCCAGCTCTCCTCCTGCCTCACCCCAAACCACCCGGGAGTGTCCCAACATCCAGAACACAGGGAGCAGCTGCTTATCCCCGGGGTCACGCACCGCCCGTCCACGGATGCCTGGGATGATGAGCAGGAAGCTGCAGGCCAACGTGAGGAAGACCACAATCACTATAATGGTGCTGATGTCGAAGCCGGCAGCTTTCCTCTGCTGCGGGTAGAAGGGGTAGATGCCGTCAAAGAGAGTCATCCTGCACCTCCGGGAGCCTGCAGGAGAGAGATGTCACAGCTTGGACCCTGTACTGCCCTGTCCAGCTGCCCCCAGCCCGTGGTGGCCAGCCCCAGCTCAATTAACCAGCTGCAGGACGTCCTCAGAGCTCCCCGGAGGGACAAGGAAATGTGACGCTGCAAGGAAACAGGCAGGCAAAATAATTCCCAGCGGAGAATGCACCACCCAAAAACCCTCGGTGGAGGAGAGGAGGTGCCTGGGGCAGGGCTCCACCAGCCCAAGGAACCAAAAGCCACCGTTCTGCTGCAGCGTGAGGAGCAGCCCAAGGGCAGGAACCTGCTGAGCAGCTCCTGCCCGGACAGAGCTGGGTCTTTCCTTCCAGCAGGTGCAGCCGGGGTTTTCCCCTTTGTGGTGAGCCCTTAGGGGAGGTCCACGAGCCAGTGACTACCACAGAGGAGTTATCCTTCAAAATTAAAAGGAACACTGAGAACATAGATTTCACAGTAGCAAAATTATCCCCAGTCAGAGGCCACCAGAGCCAAGCAGAACAAAGCCCACTGCTCCCATTCCCACCCATCTCCTCCAAGAAGCTTTTCCCCAGGAGCTGCTGATTTGGGGAACTGCACTTGGCCCAGGGGGGCCAGAAGCAGCCCCTAGGATGTGGGTCCAAGGAGCACACAAACACTGGGAGCAAATCTCAAGGCTAAAAGAAAGTGGATTATATATGATGACAAGGTGTGTAATTCCTACAGATGACTTTGAACACCCTCGACATTCCAGTTCCAGCAACTACACACCTTCACCCTGTGCCTGGGTTAAATCTTTTCTACCAAAACTGATTACATGCTGAGTCCTCTTATTTCGCTTATTTAATAACCTTTCTGCATGTAACTACCCTGGGAAGTCAGCTAAAGTCAGGGAATGCCAGAACTAATCTGACTCATGACCAAACATCATTTCATTCTGTCCCTGTATAGAGCAGTTGATTTTATTCTTATTTTTTGGCAACAGTATTAATCATATTTTTAGGTAATATCCAACCCAGAGCAGCTCAGCCACAAAAAAGCAGGTCCCAAATCGCTAGAAGTGGGTGGGAATCACAATAAGTATCATAAAACAGTTTGCCTGAGCAGCTGAATCACTTTTCAATGCATAAAGCAGCATTTGGTTTCAGAATCATTTTCTGTCCAATAACCCAGATAATTACAGCAAAGAGTTTAATGGAGACTGGGGTTTTACAACAGATCTGGACCTGACCTTATCTTGACTCTGCTCCAGACTAACAGAGCTGTCGTGTGCTCTTACAAATCTTCCTTAGGGTTGTTTTGCTGTAATAGCTTTGGGTTATTTCCCTGGAAAGCCGAGCCTGGAGAATGGCAGCTTTCAATTGCCATGATTACCTGGCAAGCAGGAGCTGTAGCTGATTCCTGATGCTACTGAAGTCCAGCTGTGGGTCCCCAGCCCAGCAAACGTTCCCACAAAACAGTCAGAGCTGCTGCCAGAGAAGAAATAAATGAGCAGTTAAACCTCTGATGAGTTAAATCTTGATGACTTGAATTCCACTGGTTTCCTTGTATCTTTGCCCAAATTTCCTTTGAGATGCAACAAAAGAAAGAAAGATTTTCAAGTCTGTATTTACCAAAACACAACTCTTCACAGCTTAAAACAATTAAAAACCAGAACATAACATGGAAAATGCTGCCTGGTTAAATCTAAATTTATCTCTAAACTAACACCAAGGGGTGTTTGCATTTCCTCTTTGCTTTGCAACTTCTGGGACTTGTTTTATAGAGATTTTCCAGGGACACAATTTTTTGCTGTCCACCCAATCTTTCTCTCTTGATTACCCTGCATAGAAGACCAGCTCCTTGGCATTTTTGCAGCTTTCCAGTGGAAAAGTGGTGCCTGTAGCTCACGGCAGGAGAAAGCAAACCTCTAGAACCTTGGAAAGCATCCTCTGTGCTGAAGCCTGGCTGAGGCACTTGAGACCCGTGTTTTCCTCTGTCACAGTGTATGGAGAGAGGAAAGACAGGAGATATCTTTAAGGAAGGATCAGTAATTCAGCAGAAATGGACATCTCATGTTTAACAAATTCTGGCCTTGCAGGGGAGAAAGACAAAGGAAGCAGAAAGTTTGCCCAAACCCCAGAAGTTTCTTCTTACAGAAACTCTGTTTTCCTGCTCCAGTATGAATTGAGGTAAAAAAATTTTTTGGAAGTGCTCAGCCAAAAACTCCTGCTGGCAGAGCCAACAGCAATCCGAGCTGGGGTTGCTCAGGGCTGCAGGTCGGCATTTTCCGTAGAAACAAGAGAAATCCCGTCCCCTGGAAACTGAATGATAAGAGCTGCAATCCGCGGGTGGGGAAGCGGGGCGAGGGGGGCGACCTCTTTGCACTCTCCCGCCCCTGTAAGAGCGTCAAACCGGGATAGGAGAAACCGAGGGTTAATTCCAGACGGGAAGCATCCCTGTGAGTCGGGACCCCCGGAGCTGGGCGGGCAGTGCCGGGGGCCCCTCTCGGGGCCGCGGCGGGCGGGGGGCGGCCGCCCTTTCCCCCCACCTACCTCCTGCTGCTGCTGCCGGTACCGCGGGCGGCGGGCGCGGGCGGCTCCGTCCCGCACGGCGCTCTTATAGGCGGCGGCGGCGGGCGCGGGCCGTATGTAACCCGCGGCACGGCCCGCCCCGCAGCACTGCCCGCACAGCGCCCGCAGGTGAGCGCCGCGACACGCGTGTCACCGCCTGCGCGGGGACAGGGGGACTGGGGATGGGGGACACGCAAGTCACCACCTGTGGGGGGACAGGGGGACTGGGCATGGGGGACACGCAAGTCACCACCTGCGGGGGGACAGGGTGCGTGGGGGATCAGGGACACGCGTGTCACCGCCTGCGAGGGGATCGGTGACGCGTGTCACCCCCTACGGGGGACAGGAGTCCTGGGTGTTAGGGACGCCCGTGTCGCCGCCTGCGGAGGCGGGACGGGGGTCTTGGGGGATCAGGACACGCATGTCACCTCCTACGTGAGGACAAGGGTCTTGGGGCATCGGGGACACGCGTGTCCCCGCTGGCGAGGGGATTGGGACACGCGTGTCTCCGATTGTAGGGGAAAAGGGGTCCTGGGGGATGGGGGTCACGCGTGTCACCCCTGCGGGGGGGGAGGTCGGGACATGCGTGTCGCCGCCTGCGTGGGGAAAGGGGTCCTGGGGAATTGGACACAGGCGCGTCCCCTCTTGCTTGGGGTAACTGGGGGATGGGGGACATGCGTGTTATCACTTGCATAGAGGCTGGGGATTCGGTGTCGCGCGTGTTCCCACTTGGGGTGGGAGGTCTGAAAGACCGGGAACACGCGTGTCCCTGCCTGCGTGGGTGGGGGTCCTCGGCATCAGAGCCACGTGTGTTCCCACTTGCGTGGAAGTGGGGGGTCGGGACCGCGCGTGCCCCCCTGCCCCCGCGCGGGGACCCGGTAGCCGATGCCGTGCACGCTGCTGCCTGCGGGGGATTCTGTCTACGCGCGTTGTCACTCGTGGGGGAGACAGGGGCTAGTGCCACCCTCCTTTTCTCCTGCTGGGCGGAGATGCTGGGATGGGGCCGTATAGAAGAGGTCGGGCCACACACCCATGTCCCGAGGACGGGGGGCTCTGGGTGCTGTGTGAGGACGGGTGGGATGGGGCCATGCGTGTCCTCACCTGCAGGGTGCGATGGAGCCACGCAAGTCCCTGCGGCGAGGGAGCGGGGCACGGGACACGGCGGGTTGGGGCGGTGCGTGTCCCTGCGTGGGCACAGGACACCGCGGGGACAGGCAGGGACCCCTTATGTTCCACTAGGGGATGGAGTCCCTGCTGTGCTCTGGTGGCACTGAGGCAGCTGGCCCCAGGGTTGTCCCCATGTGGGAAAGCTGGGGAAACCGCTGGCTCCTGTGCACAGGCTGGGATATTCTGGATGAGATCCAAAGCTGGGGAGATAGAGCCTGTTCTGAAACCCAGCTGGCTGGTGTGAAGGTGGCAGCCCCCCAGTCTGTCCCACCAGCACTGGGGAGATATAGAAATTAGCTGTGACTAACAAGGACCATAGGGATCAGGCTCCAGGCTTCTGGAATGACTTGGATCTGCTCTCCTCTGCCAGTATGACCACACTAAGTTCTGCAGCAGTGCTGCTGCTCTGTCTATTTTCTTCAGTTTTTAATTAAAATAATGAAAAAAATTATAAACATCACTTTGGCTTGTAACAGAGCAGTGTAGGAAAAGCTGAAACGTGCATTGCTGCATCTCTTGGCAACACAACTCCTCTGAAATGGTGGTGGTCTTTGGATACACACCCACAGTGCTGGAACGGAGACAAAGAGCCATATTTAGTGGAAAACTGTCTTGGAGTTAAATTCAGATTTGGAATTCCTGTGCATGGAAAGCCAGCAGTAGCATTGTTTCATTTGTGACTGTAAATCACTTCACTGTTCGGGGCTGGGAATCCCTCTCTTCTGTCAGCTGTTGGCCAGAGTTTTAAAAGTTCAGGTCCCACTGATGAAATCTGCCCTGGATCCAGGGGTTTTGTGGAAAAAGAGATGCAAAGCATCATGAGAAAGGCTGGTCATGAGGGAGTGCTGTTGGGTTAGCTCAGAGGGGATCAAGAGGTCCTGTATGCAGTATTCGCACACTTTGGGATGCCTGACTGTGAACTGAGGCTCTTCCATCACGTTTACAGCTGGATTTTGCTTGGATGGGTCAATACCGGAGAAATTTCCAGCTGAAATGTGCTTATTTTTGTAACAAAGAGTGTGTTTCTGTAACAGAGCTGGCATAGCTGAATGTGGATGATATGTGAGCCTATAGCTGGGATACTCCAAGGGCCATTGGTCCTGCTTCAGCAGAAAGGTCTTCTCAGGCCAGCTGACACATCCTGACAGAACTTCCCCAAGGGGATGGGGTCTCACATGCCCCCTGCCAACTTCCCACAGTTGGGAGATACTGCTGCTGATGGCAGCGGACTTTTACCAAGCAGTAGAAATCACAAGGAGCTGAGATTTTGACCTGT